TCCACTGAAGTCCACATTGTAGTTGATATCAAGGTTTGCTTGTCCAGGTGGCTCCTCATCTTCTGTATTTTGAGAAGCCTGACTTCCACTGACCATGTAAGTATATCCAGGAATAGCATGCAGATGAGGAACATGTGTCATGCCATTTGACATAACTCCTTCGCTCCTCTGGAAAGTCTTGTGATATGAAATGTTGAACTGTTTGGTGTCGTCTAAATGATGAACATCAGCACTAGAAGAGCTCTGACTCCTTTCTGAAAAAGCTGAAGGATCCGACTCATTTGACAGGGTCTCACTTTGAACTGGACTCCTTTTATCAATAAAAGAAATAAATGAAACATAAAATTATAACCCCTTTGAACAGAAGAAAAAAGAAAAAAGAAAAAAGAAGCCACATGTTCATATTGAAAGCACTGAGAAAGATAAAACTGATTACACTAAGTGAAAAATGAGATTTTATTAATACATTCTTTTGATTTGTTTCAGTTCGGACATAGACATGTAAAAGATATCTATGATTTTCTAAACTTCTCCGCAAAAAGAAGTGTTTAAGACATTTGATTAAAGAGATTAGCTCTTAATTCATACATCACAAATTACAGATTCTCACTCTTAGCTGCAGGGTCCAAGATGAGAAACCACAATCTCAACTTATTAGTTTCCAATAGAAACAAAGCTTTATAGACATGCTCAAATTAGAGAAATTAAGGCCAGCACAAGCACAACTATGGCCTAACGGTCAACGAAACTGGGCAGAAAAATTAGATGATGCTTTCCAGGTGGTGGATAGAGCTACCAAAACATGAACACCAGCGTTAAAATTTATTTTTTTTTTTTAAAAAAAAAAAAGTAGAATTTGCGTTTTTACTTCCCGCAGCGTTTGCAGCAAAAAATTCTCCCTAAATTTGTAAAAAGCAACTCAACATTTCCAAAGTCCCATACGAAAAAATGGAGTGAATGCAAAGCACTAATCACATTTTCAAAGAAAAAGGAATCGAAAAATAAACAGAGAAAATGAAGAAGATCATACCAGCCCTCGTCCGAAGAATCATAGCCAGAAGTAGACTGCCGAACCAAATCTTCGTACGAAAGGGCAAAATCAAAAACAGGAAAACCTCCAAAAATCTCAGAGTAGTCCAAATGAGAAGTCTGAATATCGACGGACAACCGATCATCGTCTTCATCAAGCACCGGAAGATCCAAAACGGGAATAGAGGAAGCTCGGGAAGAGTGAAAACCTCCAAAAATCTCAGTATAATCCTCATAACGAGGAGCTAATGTTGGCACTCCGAACTTGGGCGTACCACCAAAAACGTCGTCGTATACAGACTTACTTGGTGTTGTAATGAACCCACTTCCATGGTAACTCTTTTTAGCAAATGAATGTGACAGATTTTCCATGGAAATGTCACTCTGAATTCTCAAAGAAAAGAAAAAAAAAACAGTTCACACTGTGAAAGTGGAAACTAGAAAGAATGAAGCGTGAAAGGGGGTAGTATGGGAATTATAAGAAGAAAAGAAGTTGCTTTTTTGAAACTAATGTTAGGAAGAAGACATATTTTGTTTAGGATTTTGAATATCGAGGAAACTTTTTGGTTAGTAAAATATATTGTGATGGGCGATTATCGTTAGTGGCAAAAAGGGGAAAAAGAAAAAGACAAAGACGACAGTAAGCGTGGTGACAAAAGAGTCGCCCATTGTATAAAACTCCGGCAGCTTTCCGGAACGTTATATATATCTCCGTATAACATATAAATAGATATTTAAATTTACTGTTAAATAATAAATAAATATTTTAGATATATATATATATGTAAATTTATCTCGACTCTTATTGAGCGTATAATTACAAGTGAGAAAATAGATTATTAAAGAGTTGTTCAAATTTAACTAATTTTTAAAAGAATAATTTACCCATATAGCACCTATAACTACAAAGACCAATGAGCTGCTATTTATTTTTTTCATTTTAAAAAACTTTAAATTTAGCAACTGTCTATGGTTAGCCTTATTGGGTGAGATTCTAGATACTGGAAAAAAAATCAAAAAAACTTTGTGGATTGCACGTAAGACTTTTAATTGGCCCCATCCCAAGTATTTCTATTTTCAAACAACGAATCATATAACTGCCCCCAAATTTCTTTTTATAATATACGTACGTACTATCATCTTTAATTAATAGATATAAAAATTATATGTCATAAAAGAAAAAAAAAGCTGAAGAAACGTAGTTTGAAACTAAAACCAATAGTGCTCATCTTGTTTCAGAAATTAAAATTCAATAATTTGAATTTTTAATATATATTTAACTTTATTAAGTTTGATCAAATTCGCTATATTGTCTCTGTCACTGTATCCAAGGTTGTTTTCATTATTAGTCTGATAAGAAACATACAAAATATCTGCGCGATTTGCGATCCCCTCTCTAATTTGTAGGCCAGCCTAACAATATATACAGACAAAGAATACACACTTATTTTTCTTGTTTAAATAATTTCTTATTTCAACTGAAAATGAAAGCTATTTTTCCTAATAATGTAACTACTACTTAAATAAACGCAATTAAGAAGAGTATATTATGGTAGGTGGATAGCATTAGTTTTAGATAGAGAAATATATACCACATGATATATTTAGGGAACCTAAACGGTTTCTTGGTCATAAGTGCATTAAATATTTTTGGTGATAGCATTTTGATAGCCTCCTTACAACTATTGTTCATGTAGAAACATGAACATTACAACAAATAAATAGATGGAAAATGATGTTTCTAATTAGGTTATGCTTTGTCCCTTACTAAATATGATCCCAACAGTACTAACCCTATATTGTATTACTTGCTTCAATAATATGATGTATATAATTCAATTGATGAATTGGTGAATGGGACCACAAACTCTTATTGTTGACTATTTTTTTATGATTTTATATTCGATATTCAGAGTACTGACAAAATTTGAACTGCACATTGCATGCTTATTCGAGGTAATATTCCTAACAAAATTTTCTTCATATTCAAGACTCTAACCAGAAACCTTTAGTTAAGAGTCCCGCCACCACAATACAAACAAACCCATGTTGGTTATTGATGACAACTCTGTTATTAATTCAACTAAATCACAGTTTACCTTAGTACTCATCAAATGTAATAACGTTGGTATCAACAAACACAATTGTCATAATAATTGCAAATGAGTATTTTGCCAGGGCATTAATGTTATCCTAAATATATATGGGCTGGCATATCTTAATTTCAAATGCTCACTAATCAGATAAGATTTTGAATTGATTTTTCAAAGATATATAACACACGAAATAAAAGTTGTGTGGTACTATTGATATAAGTAAAATCCACTATTTCTCTTTTTTTCTCTCATCAATACCTTTATATTTTATTCAAAGAAATTGTTTGTATTATATAGGAAAGACAAGATTTAGATCCAACATATGTCATTATTCTAAACTACTTTAATATGTCTAAAGAAAGAAGAGGTAGGCTCTTCTTCTTGGTTACTCTTTGCATAAACCAACCAATTATGAAATGCCAAATGATGAATGCTTTTGCAAATTCCTTATTGAAAATTATATTGGAAAAGGAAAGGGCATATGTGAATAATGGCATTGAGCAATTGAGTCTATGAAGGAAAAAAAAAAAAAAGGCTAAAGAGTGTATGCCTCTGGGTCCAATATGTTGGTTAACTTTATTCAAAGTCACAGCTTGCTAAAGCTAAATACTCAATTTCAATCATTAATGTCTATAAACTTAATCATGTATGGATATACGGTGTGTAGTACTTATTAATCTAATCTTGTAGATTAAGGTTCCATATATAATATATAGATTTAATTAAGCTCATGAAAGATGTTTAGTATGATTGCATGGACAAGAACTTTAAATAAAACACAAGCGTGCAGCCAACATAATATACAAATAGCCTGTATCCGCTCTTCATGATCGATATTTATCACTTAGGTTTATTTGTTATTACTCCAACATTTTTGTGACTGTGAAATCATAATGCTTTTTCAAAATTTTCACTTATGGCATCATGGCTGCAGATCGACTAAAAATACAGTAACAGATATGGCAATTGAAAAAGTCTAGACTAAATATGTCCAATCAATATCACAATGCTAAAAAAAGCAAAAAAGAAATGGAGAGAGCATATGAATTACTAGTGAATATAGTATTGATCCCTAGTTGCTTTTGGGACAAAATACATTTATAATCAAATTAAGAAGATAAATTATGCACCTTATAAGTAAGCTTTTTGAAATAACAAGCTACTATGTCTCCTCGAGAGTATCCTATTACGAGGTTAGCCGTCAAAAAAGTTATTAAATCCTACTCATATCTTGCTAACCAAAAAGCTACAGAGAGAAGGGTATCTATACATCACTTTACAAAATTATATGTTCAACTATATCTACCTACAAAATTTAATTAATGCAAGAATAACTCTTCCAATCTCTCGTACATCTTTTTACTAGGTAATCTAATTGACAAGAGAACGTTGTTATTTTATAGGAGAAACCCAAATAGATAGAGTAATTATACTCCCAAGAATGATTTTTTAATCTTGTTTTCTGTATTTAAACTTTAAAGAGAAATACTAACGCTTGTGTCCACAATTCACAAATGTAAAAAGTTTTGAAGGGAAACTGTCTGGTGTCCATGGCCTTTACGCAACTTATTCAAAAGGTATGTAAGATCTTCAAAAACATAAATTTCATTTTGTTTTGAATGTCTTAATTGGACACCATTTTTAAAAAAGTGTACACCCATATAGGCCATAGGTTTTGAATTGCTTTCTGGGATTCCCTGCACATTCAAAGACTCTGGTTTGACTGTATTTCACCTACTGCGGATACAACACAATAGAAATCAGATAATGATTTTTTTCAAATTGGCTACCCAGTGCATTGTGTGTTATACCAGATAAGTGTCCTCTAAAGTTTCGATATAGAAGGAAATGCGCATCAAGAGATTGAGGTTGAGGTTGAGGAGTAAAATATGTGAAGTTTCTCATATTGCTTAAACAGACAAATATAAGCTCTAGTGTAACCTTGTTTTTTCAAGAACATCAAAAGACTGATCAGCCAGACATGATAAGTAGAAAAATGCTACAGCTGCATACCCGTATTAAACTTTGATATTTCAGCTTGGCCTTAATTATTGGAAACTAATCACAGGCATTTTGACGTTAATCCGCCCAAAACAAAAAAGAGTTACCCAATAACATCACAAAATCCCAGGATACCCCAGATGGAAACCACACTTAGGAGGCCTTTGGTGCCTTGTCTGGTAGGCTACTATCAGGCAGGACAAGCTCTGGAGGTGTTTCACTAACACCCAACATAGAGTCATACTCCTCATCCTTGCGCGCTAGTTTCTTTCGCAGCACCTTCTCAAATTCAATCTTATCCAACTCTTTTGCATTTTCAGCTGCATGAACCTGCGCTAAATTAGAATAGTTTGCGGCTGACTCTGAGATGAACGCTATTTCTTCTTCTGTGAGCTTCCTCAAGAACCTCGCTGGATTTCCTCCCCAGACCTGTGTTTTTTAGTTGTCATAATTACACATGTGAGCAAGTTGAAATTTGCAACGAAAAAATTCACTACATATTTCATAACAAGCTAGAATACAAGACAACTAGGGAAGGGACGGGCTTTTCTTTGGGAATTCCTTGTATCAGTCCACATCCTAACAAATCTTCGTCCATTTGTCAACAGTTACATGCACAGTTTCACAAGTGTATAATAGGGAGGTTAAACAACTTACTAAAGATTAACATGGAAACTAGCATCAGTATGAACAAATAATATTTTTTTCACCAATTGGTAAATACCCATGTAGGAACTTGTACACATGCGCAAAAACCCCAATAATGGCAAAATGAGTGACTTAAGTCTGCCACAAACCTCTCCGAATGGAATCCTTGTATTCTGTCTTACATGGGCACCAGCAGCGACCATAGCATTTTTCTCCACAACAGCTCCATCAAGCACGGTTGCACCCATACCAATAAATGCCTCGTCTTCAACAGTACATCCATGTAACACAGCGCTATGACCTTATTTTTTGATGTCAAAAGTCAACCATCAAGCCAACTCAAAAATTAATGGCAGATGTATATTATGCTCTAAATTGCCAGAAATTTCTCACCTATGGTAACATTTTTGCCAATTATCGTAGGCAAAACCTTTCCACTGATATTCGATTTAGCTACATGGATTAGAGAATTGTCCTGGACATTAGTTCCGGCTCCAATGCTGACACTGTTCACATCACCTGCACGGAGTTTCATGTTGAGAAAGAACAAGAAAACTAAAGAGCACAAACATCCAGGGAACTCCACACACACAAAAAGGAAAAACACTATGCAATCATAGTTTGGTTGAAGCCCAAACTTCTTAACAGAATTAGAGCCCAATGCAGAACTCATATTCTTGCCCTTAAGGAAGCTAAGATAGGACAAGGTGATATTATAAGAGGCGCAATGTAAGTTTTATAACCAAGGAAGAAGGAACAAAACTTTATTCAATACTGTACGTGTGGGAGCATATTCACTCAGTCAAATATCGTTGGCAATATGCATTAAGAAAGACACATACTTCCAAAGTATTTCATTTAAAGGCTGCCATGAGTGTGCATAAACCAAAATTTGCTCGAAATTTCAGTCGGCTAAGTTGTAGATTGAGCTTTCAATAGATAACATTACAATAAAGAGATTCAAGGAGTAGTGCTTGTGGAGTAAGTCAAAAGTAGAGTTGCCTGAGTGAAGGCATGTTTGGGCTTTGTGTCTTGTCCCTGAACAAATAATATAAGTTTCAACTTTGAATGAGCCCAAGTTATCAGGTCCAATCTAATTTGATATTTCTAATAATACCATTGGGTGGAAGCAGATAATTGTCTGATAAATAGTCCTATAGCAATCTTTTATTTCACAAATTTGACCTTTTCATACGTGAACATCCTCTCAAAGATCAATATTCAAAAAAGAGAATTATTTGACAAATTTTATTTTTAGAGAAAAACATGTTTTCGCTGCAACAGAAAAGTTTACTAATTTCTCTTCTAAAATGAAACTCACCTTTGTCATCACTCATGAATGTACATGTAAGTTGTAATGAAACCACCGTCACTTTTAAAAAACATATATAGATTATGATTGTTATATAGGGATTAGGGAAAAAACTATATTTATCAAGTGCTGCCAGTCTTCGCTTGTGCTATACATGAAGTTTTCAATACAATTCTTAACTCGTCAAAGAGTAGCATAGTACTCTTGATAGCTAGAAGTTCTCAAAATTAAGAATGATCGTACCATGAGTCCACAACTTTGAGTTTCGTTGAGATCTACACATTAAGTTTATCACAAACCCCAAAATCTTAAGTCATATTTAGATCGTAAAAGCATAAATGGCCTACATCATTTCTTTAAATTATTTTTTTGAATTGTTAAAACTAAGTACATAACAACAACAACATACCCAATGTAAAACCACAAGTGAGATCTGGGGAGGGTACGCAAACCTTACCCCTACCTAGTGGAGGTAGAGAGGTTGTTTTTGAAAGACCTTCTGCTCAAGTGCAGACTTGTCCAGATATCCTCAGTGCCAATCCTCATTCCTCAATGCCAATTTCTATTGGGTTCTTTCAACCAATTTTTTCATATTCCAATTCAAGAGACTTATTCAGTTCAGATTCGTCCAAATTAATTGAGTCTTGTATCTTTTATAAAGCCCGATATTATTGTTCACAACTGGTGTTCGGGTACACCTTAAAAAGAATTAATACATCGTAACTAAATTAGAAGAAAGGCTTAATTACCTATGATGTGCAGAAAAGATTGTACACTCAGTCTTACTACTTGTCTTACAAATAAGAACTACTGGACGACATAAACAACAGGACTACCAGGTTCGGCAAGGCATGTGACCTTATAATGTTGTATTTCAAGAAATTAGCAATATCTACTGTCTTTGTCTTATAGGGAACTACCACTGCATGATATATATCAAACTTATCAGTTCTGAAAAACAAGTAAAATCATAATGCTGCATTTCGATAAAATAAGCAATCTTTACATGCTGAGCTAACTATCAACAAACAACATTTTATAAATAAAGATTTGGCATAGGACATACTGTTGATTCAACTATAAAGCTTGACGAGTCCATAATGCAGTTGTCTCTGAAATATCTACCCATTACCATAATTCAAGAAAAGACAAATATTTTGTGATACAAGAAGGAATACTTTTCTCACACTCGTCATATGTCTCCAGGAAAATTTTACCACGACAAAAAATGTATATTTCAAAATCAATCAGTATAACAGCCGCATACTTCTATAAGAAGGGTTTTAAGCACTGACACTACCTTTTTTTAATAAAGCAGCACTGACACTACCATCATATGCAGAAGCAAAACATACCTCGCAGAACACACCCATACCAAATAGAAGCACTACGACCAATGTGAACATCACCAATTATAGAGGCACTTGGGGCCACAAATGCATCTTTCTCAACAACTGGTACTTTGTCAAACAGGTTCATCAAAGTTCTATGCCTCGAGACTGGAATAAAAAAGAGGTAGAGAATAAAAAACGTTAAAGCAAGAAGGCATGCTGCATATTGGAGAAAGCACATCAACAACCAATAAGTTTAGACATGAAATAAAAAATATGTGGTTTGACATAAAGAGGAAAACCATATAACAACAGAACACAGGAATGAGTAGAAGACTAGGAAATAATTCTAGAAGTACAGCCAAACATAGAGAACAGAACCTAAGATGGTGAGATTGGCTGATTGTGAATAAATATGAATGTAACTAAGATCATCACAATCGACACCGGTGGAATGCTTGTCAAAGATCCCAAGCCTCAGTGACTCACCCAGATGAAAATATTTATAGACTAATAATTCATCAAAATTGACCCGAGCTACTTATGCTAGTCACAATGTTGCGGGCATGGTTAATGAGAACTGGGTGAGATCAGAATTAATAATCTAGCTCTCGGATTGTTGTTAGACATATTGTAAGATAGATCATATATGTCATAGTAATACCATGCTATAAGTACTAAGTATCATGAGCAGCCTTCAAATTAACAACCCTACATGATCACTCATCACTCTTGATAACCTTGAATCAACAATACTTGTAATCGACCTTATTTTTCTTAAGCAAAAAATTGTAACTTCAACTACAGCGCCCTACTACAGCCCACAACCACAAGTGACAGGAAATCCTTGTGCACCAAGGTTGTGAAGTAAGTTCATACTAAGCGTCAAAGGGGAATTCATACCTAAGATCTCTAGGTTGTTATTTTATGCCGCAACCACCAATCCATCTCCTTGAGACCGATAATCAGGAAAATTACTTTGAAACTACACTTTCAAAGTTAGAGCATTGAATGACTGTTTGGAATGGAGAAAATATAAAATGCCAATGAAATTTGATGTCACTTAATTCTTTCTAGCTTTACGAAGCGGTCGTTTTACTTTATTTATCAATATAACAACATTCTTTTTCCTGAAACTAAAAGGGAAAGTATCCATTCGTAGATTTTAAAGGGAAATAGACAAGAGAAAAATTACTCTACATAAGTCGACATTTATCAAGAAAGGATTATCCCCTAATAAGAGATAGTCAGATGCTAATAGCTCTATGCAGCTCAAAAAAAAACTAAAACTTCACTACTTGTCATCAAACATTGAAATGTCACCTTCACGGTGCTATCTGAGCTAATAAAATTAATGTTCAGACAACAGAGTGCAGAAAATGCAGCTAAATAGAAATGGCAGAACGAAGCCTAATGAATTTATACAATTGAAAGCGTTCTGTGACTTGAACTAATGTGTATCGTTCAAATAGCTAAAGCCCTAATTGTGGGTTATATGAAAACATAACATGTTTAAAGGTGATAGATGTGAAGAAGTGAGGAGAAAGAAGAGACGTACGGTGTTCTTGGAAGTAATAGTTTCCCTGGAGGCGGCAGCCCAACCGATCAAGGGCTTGGCCTGTCTCACGGATCCAGAATCCAACGGTGTAGATTGCTTTCATCGCCGAACCCATCCTCTATTGCTTCCGATTCCACAACCGGATTTCTCCAAATTCAAACGTATATTTGTTTGATTATTTAGCTGAGGAGTTGAGAAATGAGGAGCGTTGATACCACAAAGGGCAAAAGGTGAAGTGAGCTGAACCCAAACCCCGACTCCTATTGAGTGCTCTCGTTTTAACAAGTTCTTATGAAATACATTATTTTTATTATTTCCAGTCCTATATTGGAGTTATTATGAAATAATTTATTTTTATTATTTCCAGTGCTTTAAAGGAGTTATTGACTTTGTGATTTATTATTTCAAACTCTAACATAGTACTCCTCATTACCAAAAAAAACGTAATACTCTTGAGTAATTATATTTCACATCATAATGATACTTCCACATATTTATTCAATGTTACTATTGTTTGGAAATATTATTCTCCATGTCATAGTTTTAATTAATTTGTTTAATTTTTTCTTTTAGTTAATTCATTTAAAAAGGAATCACTCTTTTAGTAACTAAATATGTTTAAAATCACGTGATTCAGTTTTTTTTTTCTTCAAAATTTATAAATAAATTAAAATAGAATAAACAAAATTAAAATGAAAGAGGATAACAAAGTGTAAAAAAAAGATACATCAATCGTTCTAGATCGATAATTTTATAGTGTTTTAGCATGGGATATTGTGTTTGTGTAGTAATAAAAATATGTTACTAAAATTTAAAAAGTAAATATTAATACAAAATATTGTTAAACCAACTATGTTATGTAGGGTGAAGAGTTGATCAATCAAGAACCCACATAATCAAAAAATGAAAATAACAGAAATGAGGATATTGAAATGAATGTATTAGCATATTAAGAAAGGTTGGACTAAGAACGAAAATATCCAAAATAAGATGAGAGAATCTCCGTGGTGAACGTAATACAAGACTAGACTGAAATGATTTGGACATATGAAAAAGAGATGCAAGAATAGTTTTGTGAGGAGGGGCTAGAGGTAGACATAAGAACTATTTGAGTGGTCACCAAATAGACATGATAGACAACATGATGCCAAATTGAAGGATATGGAAATTGAGGAAGCATTATCAAATTCTATTATTAACAGTACTACTGATACTCTCCGACTAACAAATTCTATTATTTTTATTTGTTATTCCCTCTATTTTATCTATCATACTATTTGTTGCTGCTCATCACTATATTTTCTTTTCGTAACTGATTTTGTGCTGAAGGCCTCTATTAATAACAACCTCTCTACCATTCCAAATTAGAAATATGACCGAGAACCCACCACCCTCAAGTGTCTGCCATTCTGTTTTGAAGTCATGCAGCATAATTTATTTGCTGTGTAGAATATCAGTTTAGCAAAAATTCAAGTGAATATATATCTCATGAAGTAGGACAATTTTCTCTCTAAATTATTTTCAAGTTACCCAATGAATTTTGTAATATCAACGCTCACACACAGCTTTAAGGTTTTTGGGATGGATATTAAGATAGAGAAGAAGAGAAACAAAACCCAATCAAAACAAGATAGCTAGCAAGTTCAATATGTTGTAAACTTTTGTAGATGCTGAGACTAAGCAAACATTTTTTCTACAGCACTACCACTGCACATTACCAGTGGTTTTCTTGATGCTTTCTGTTCCACGTCTTTACTGAATTCATGAAAATTGAAAGTTCTACATGCATTTCAAATAGTATTTGATACTACCACATTAAACTAAAGTATGCATATGAAATTCAGGGAGCCATCGTCAACAAGTCAACTGGCTTTTCTGCTTCGATTTTCAGTAGTGACAACAAGTCCTCAACAAGGTCACTTCCTCAAACTTTCCACAATGTAAGAAGCATACAGGTCCCTGCGATCACAACCGTGGAGATGAATATTTTTTGGTTAGGAAAATTGATAACACAAAAGAATAAACAATCTTACAACATGAGAGAATTCAAAATAACTGACATGGAATACTTGATGGCATCTACAGCTGCTTCAGCAGGAAGAAAGTCCTCAACGGCAACTGACTTGTTCTCATTCTTTTTATCTGTTGATAGAGAGTCAAGGATCTATAGCAGAAACAGTAGATACATACCCTAGCAAAGGTGTCAAAAGCCTTACGATATGCAAACATGGTCTTAAATATATTCTTGAAATTTATAAGAAATGGAAATAGACACCCATTGGGGTGACATATAAACCCAGAATCCTCCATACACATCCAGCAGCCTCAGACCTATCAGGATGAATATGGAGTATTTCCTTCTTAAATTAATGCATGACGAAATGCCATATCGAGGATACAGTCTTCAAAAAAGCGCCGAATTTCAGCAAGACGATGAGGAGGAAGCTCCTTGATGTCTGTGTAGTGGCGAAACTCGGGATCATCTGCACACACTGCTATTATCTTGTCATCTTTCTCACCCTGTAACAGAGCATTAATATCTATCAGTTATTCCATATTTTGCTATAGTTGTTGCAATTCACTCACAAAAAAGGGAAATATAACTGTGGTGCCACAATGTCACACACAACCAAGTTATTTGGTTTGTGTCTACTAAAATTCTAATTCTGGTTTCAATATTCCCTCTCATAGTTTTCTATCAACTGCAACGGATGAGAAGTTATCACCACCCTTCATCAAGTTGACAAAGGGAGAAGTTATCAAGTGTATTGACCTCTCAAGGTTAAAATATGTACACAACAAAACTTAAGGAAATTAAAACTAAACTATCAGATTTTTTATAAGCAAATGTTTTTTTTTGTTCAGCAATTTTCAATATCCTAAAGTACATGTGGCAGAAAGTTTACTCGATTGAAAAACCTTACCTGATCAATCATAGGCATCAATCCAATTGCACGAGCACGAAGAAAGGTACTTGGTAACACAGGTTCCTATACAACATATAGCATGGATGTAAGAGTACCTAGGAATAAGGTTACACTGAGGCAAGTAATGCTAGATTGGGCCCAAGGAAGATGTGTGTATGTGCATGTGTAAACAAAGATATACCTGCATCAGTACCAAGACGTCCATTGGATCACTGTCTTCGCAAAGGGTTCTTGGAATGAAACCATAGTTGTGTGGATAAACAACTGATGAGTACAGTATTCGGTCAACCTTTTAGACACAAGTTCAGCAATTCAGTATTCGGTCAAATGATTATCATAACCATGAAAACTCTTAAATGAATTTCAAAAGGCTGGAAAGAATTAAAGATCACTGGGTTAAAATAGCACCTTTATAAGGCCACTTGCCTTGTCAAGCTCATACTTGACTTTGCTGCCTTTGCCTATTTCAACCACCTGCCAAATAACTCTTTAAGATATAAGTTTGCGTGAAACTCAATGCCATCTGTGTAGTACTTGGGAGTTGGGACTATATCCCCCGACAAATAATCACAACTATCACAGAGATAATAATGGGTGTGCAAGCCCGTGTGAGATAGCAGGTAGGAATATATCATTAGAATTTTTTTCCTGTATGTGAAACTGCCAATCATTGTTATATATTTCCAGTTGAGAACTGTAGAAATATTCAAAGACCACTATTGACTAGATAAACAAAAAGAGTAAACCAGTATAAATATATTGAAACACCTTTGCTTTGAACTTAATAAATGATCTTCTGGAAAGAATGAAAATCACTACTAACAAAAAAGAAGTGGACAAATACAGCCAGATAAGAAGGTTATGGTTGTCGGAGTAACTTAAGTACCTTATCAAATAATTTCAGAAAAGAATTACTGGCACTTAAACACTTACACAGTTGAAAACTGAAGGTGCACCTGGCCCTGCACAAGCAGAACATCAAACATAAGTACAAAAAGACACCAAGCCCCATACAGTGCAATGTATAACAAGACCATGAAATAACACCAGACACTGAAATGGATAATCGTATTATACTAATGCTGATTAAAAGCAAATTCACCAAAATAGATTGTCTACTTCTTTTCTTTCGTTTTTCTTGTTGCAAGAATTAAATAACTATTGTTACCAATCTCTAGGTCATGCCATGGATGAGCAGCAATAGATTTTCGTGACATGGAGGAAAGAATTCTTTCATTAAGCGCAACACGGGAGGTTCCTGAGTTTCTTCCAATCGCTTTTCCACTATTTTCAGCCATATTTAACTGAACAACAAAAAGGAAACCCAACAATTAGCATATATCTAGACGATCATAATTCAACGTAATAATGCAATTAAGTAACAAATATGATCAGACTATCAGGACATACAAATCCATCCCAGGTTGTTAGCAATACAAATTAAATTTTCACAAGCAGAGATGCGTATTCTTTTTCCCTGTCAGATTACCCTTAACTTCATTACTAAGTGTATTGAAAGCCACTTTAGAACCCCAAAAAGGTAACAAGAAAAGAAGAAGAAATTGATAGATGGAATGTGGATTCAAAAAGGATGAAGAAAATAAGATTGCTTGTAAAACCCTTAAAGAAGAGCTGAAAATTAGAAAAGATGGTACGGTTGGAGTGAAAAGAACGCTAACCAATGCCAGCACAAACAACAAGCCGAAGTAAAACCCACTGGAAAAATCAACCCAGAAAGAAAAATATCAAATAAACAAAACTATAACTACAATCTAATCGTCACCAGAAATAATGTTGCAAGAACCCATCCAAAAAGCGACATATACATTTATAGCAATCAAATGACAAACAGAAACAGAAAAACTTCAATAAAGAAGAAAGAATGAAAAGATGAATAACTTACAGAGAGAGATGATGGGCGAAGGAGAAGGACACTGTGCTCACAGTATTTTGTTAGGGGCAATATATACAACTTTTGCGGTGTGTACGCGTCATATGCGTTTTCACTTTCTACCAAAAGTTTCCACTAGTCAGTTAGAGTCAAAGTTGCGTCGTCCGATCGTCAAATTGCTTAAATCCAACGGTTGATATGTTTTCATTTATTTATTGTATATAATAAAATAATTATATATTTTTGCCTTTCTTGGGAAATGAATTTTTATAGTAGTAGTAAAAGCAAAGGAACTGTAATAGAAAATGCGAAACCAGAGGACCAATCACGGATCGCCACGCAATTTCTGTATTGATGAATCGCGTCATTTGATAGAAAAATTAATAATGTACGACTAGTAATTCATGACTCAATAAGATATCTCCTTGACTCATTGTTTATCATTAATTATTATATTTTTTATTTTTAGAACTGAAT